GATGCCCGACGCGGCAGGACACCCCCTGCGCCTCGGCCCCGCGCCAGACGGTGAGGGGTTCACACCCCAACTCCATCGGCGGCGGCCTCGAGGAGAGCGAAAGGGCGGGGTCGGTGGGGCTCACAGGGGCCTCCGCGCAGGCGTCGTCCCGCCAAAACGGCGGCGCCACGACGCTTTCGCGGAGCACCACGCGAAGCCACGGGCCCTCCTCCGCCGCCCCGGCGGGCCGTTTCGGAAGCGTGAGGTTGGAAAGGTAAATGGAGAGCCGCAGCGACGAGTCCGGGTTCGTGTCGTGCGCAAAGCAGCCACGGGTTTCCAGCGGGGGGTCGGAGTCCACACAGCCGCGAACGCAGAGGATACGGGGAAGCGGGGCGGCGAGGCAGGGGATCCCCACCCACAGCCAGACCGTCCACACGAAAAAAAGGAATGGATAGCGAACAAGAAATCGACGAGGGGAGTTGCATGCCCCCATTTTCTTTTGTCTAGAGAGGGGTGGCAAACACGGGATATAGGAAACCTCGTCCTTTTTTAAGGATCTATGAAATCGAACTACACCTTTAGCACTACGTGTCAATACGCAAATCTTAATCCGTTCACCCAGACTTAAAGCAAATAACAATGTTGATAAGGGTTCCAAGGTAGGACCTGAAATATACGCCTATGAATATTAGACACAAAAGGAGGAGGGAAAGAAACAGGATAAACTCACTCGATCCATGTGATAATTTTGATTGGGTCTTCTTTTCGTTGTTGGGGTTGGATTTTCTTTTTCTTCTTTGTTGAAGAATTGGAATTACCTGAGATAAAAACAATAGTTAGCAATGGAATGCCGATCGTACAGTGTCATAGAAATTCTAAAATAAACTAAAACATGGTACATTAACAACGGTTTAAACATAAAGGGTGAAAAAGGAGGAGGAGGGAGGAGGGGTCAATACGTTGAATCATAAGGAGGGAAGAAAAGGGTACAGATAGTACGTCGGTGGCCATGATGGATTCAGTTTGAACAACCCATTTACCAAGACGCACGTCTGGGGAAAGAAAGGGTGATCTATAATAGTTGGCGAGATTGGAGAATCGCGCCATTCCTCATCCTTCCGAGATTTCATCATCCCTAATCTTGTGATCGATTTATTTGCTCAATACGAGACCAAATCTTCGCGGCCAATGTAAGGTCTTTCAAAATCGAAACCGCAAACTTCGCGTAGCGATCCAATGCCTCAACGTGCGAGGGGTTCAAATCGATCACCTTTTCAAAGGCTTGCTTAACGGCCTCCTTCAGGGAGCGTAGACGGGGCGACTGCCAGGATTCCTGAAGCCCCGCGTTTGCCGTAGACGTGGCGGCACCTCCTCCCCCAAGCCGCAAACGCTCCTCCTCCGCCAACCGCACGCATTCATTCTCGATAGCCAACGCGAGCTGCAGGGCGATCTCGGCGTTATACGGACGGAGCTGATGCGCCTTATGAAAGGTCTCGATCGCCTCCTTGGTGCGGTTCTTTCGGAACGCGTAGAAGCGCCCGAGATTCTGAAGTGCCTCGAGACTGTTCGGCTCGAGCTGCGCGGCCTTTTCAAAGACCTTCTCCACCTCATCAAAGATCTGCGTCTGGACGTCCTCGCCCGCGTGGGCGGCCGGGTTGTCGGCGCAGGCCCAGATAAAAAACCCATACGCGGAGAGAAGCTTTGAGTTCGGATCCAACTGCAGCCCCTTCGCGAAGCATCGCTGCGTTTTGAACGGGGTCGGCATCACAGAGGCGAGGTAGCCGGCGTACATCATGTGCGCCTCCGAGGAATGGGGGTAGCGCTCGAGATAAAAGCGATAAATCGCCTCGCTGACGACGCCGTGGTCGATCGTGGGGTGGCCGCTCGCGAAGTAGTTGCCGTAGCACCTCGTCCGACACCCATCCCCGCCAGAGATCGCGAACGCGAGGGCGTAGTACTTCCGCGAGAGATGATGGTAACCGTGCTTCGCGCAGAAATCCGCGTAGTTGACTAAAAGCGCCTTTTGAAACGGAAAGCGATGGATCGCCTCGCGGTACATCCGATTGAGCAAAAGCGGTCGATGGAGTTTGGTTTGGACGAGGTAGCAGGCGAGGCAGGCGGCCTCCCCGCTCGGGGTGTGCGCGACGCCCTCAAGGAACGCCGGCGCCATCGCATCCACCCGGGCGTCAAAGTCCGCCTCCGTGAGGTCCTCCAGGGAAGGGGAAGGGGGGCGGATTGCCCCCCAACCCGCGGAGGAGGTGATGGAGGAGTTGAAGCTGCTCGCCACGGGGGAGCCCCTCCCACGCCGCGCCGCCGCCGAGGCGGGCGAGCCGCAGCTCCATCTCCGCCGCCACCCCGCTGCCGAGGGCGAGGAACCGTCGAATCATCGCCCCCCCTTTCGCGTAGTCGCCCGTCATGACGAAAAAATCCGCCACGACGCCCGCGACCTCCGGCGAGGTCGGGCAGACCGCCGCCGCGCGGGTGTAGAGCTGTTCGGCCGCCAACGGATCCGCCACGGCCTTCAACCCGGCGTAGTTCGCCAGGAGGATCGCGAGCTCCTTCGCGTACTCCGCGCCGCCGCGTTTTTCGGCGCCCGCGGCGTAGGCCACCGCGGTGGCGTAGAGCTCCTCCGCCTCGGCGGTGAAGCCGTGTTGGTGGAAGAAAAACGCCCCCCGGCTGAGCGCGATCAACGCCATCAGCTCGAAGTTCGCGCGGTAGGTCGGGCGTTGCAGGGCCGCCGCGGCGGCGGGGTCCCGCGGGCGCGGGTCCGCGACGTCGTCGGCGTCGATCACCCGTTGGGTGAGGATCAGCTGCGCGGCGCGGCGGAAGATCCGCAGGATCGCGCGCACGTCGACTTTCAAATCCGCGACCACCTCGACGCGGCGCCGCTCGTCCTCGGTGAGGTTTCGCAGATTCAACGCGTAGGCGATGAGCACCGACGGGTCGTTCGAGGCCTTCACCTCCTGCACGGCGTCAAGCAGGATCGACCCCATGCTCGCGTTCCCCACGAGGTAGCAGCACTCCGCGAAGCTCGTCGCGACCTGCACGCGGAACTCCGCCGAGACGTCCTCCTTGAGGAAAAAAAAGAGAAGAAAGCACAGGTGGAAGCGCTTCTGGATATCCCCGAGCTTCTCGACGAGCTCGATCAAGCGGAGGTAGGAGGCCGACATATCCACGCCCCCGACCCACTCCAGCTCGAGCAGCTGATTCTGCGCGGCGACGGCGTCCTTCCACTCCGCGAGCCGCTCACAGCAGGCGACGTAGTTCGTCAGCATCCAATGCAGCGTCTCCACCCCGACGTGGGTTTCCGCGAGGAGGGGGGGGGTGGTTTTCCCGCCGCCGTGAGGACGGCGCCGCGCGGAGCCGCTCACCGCGCAGGAGGCGAGCCCCAACTCCCGCAGCTGCGCGACCTTCGGGATGGCGGCGAGGGCCTGGCGGTAATGCCGCGCGGCGCGCCGGTGATCCCCGACGTAGCTCTGAAGGCAAAACGCGAGGTGCCCCTCCACCTCCGCCACGTGGAGCTCCACCATCCGCAGACAAGGG